TCCGTGGATGACCAAATTCAGGTGTCTTCTCACAGTTTATGTAGAAATTTAAAAAAGACTTTGTCGAAGGTTAATTTTCCTCACATACTCGGAGAAATCCTCATTCCTGCACACCCGAGAAGGTCCGGCTTAGAATTGATCTTCAGTAATCCATGTTTGTCGTAAGAAGCGACTAACGGGATCGGGTGGTCAGGCTCGATGATTGGGTAGACACATATCATCGTATCCCAACTGCGTAGATCGATGTTCATGCTGTTGATCACTGGATTGTCTGGTCTAGACTCGATTATTTACAAACCGCCGCCATATAGCTGGAATATTGCTGAGTGCGGCGTAAAACAAAATTCACTCGCTCATTCCTGCAAAATCATAATCACGGAAGATATTACTCGTGAGGACTGTAATTTGGTTACATAAAAAGTGCCAGGAATTAAATATAGTTTCTTAGGAATTAAAAATAGTTCGAAAATGGAACATAATATAGCATGCAAAATATTTAAAAATATATGAATTCCGGGTCGGGCTGATTGTTAGGGTTGACTAGTCATGGTGAACCATGTAACAACATTTCGGCAGATAGCAGAGGTCTCGTCATGTTGAACTCTCGCGTGGTTTCAATCCAAGGAACGAGATCATCTGTGTGTAGACAAATGATGAACGGGGCTGTTGAGGATTTTGTCAAGGTCAGATTAAGATAGCAACAGGGTAATTGGTGATAATCGAACCGTTTCTTCGTCTAGCCTGAAGGGTTTCGCCCCTGTTGAAGTGGAAACTGGAGTATCGGTTGTCCTCTTTGTAGCCGTTCTGACATCATCGCGTCTGGATCTCACAGGGCTGATTAATTTCTTTCCAAAAGGCTTCATTTGTTCGAGAGGGGTGTCTGATAAAGCTTGTCATGCTTTGAGGAGGGTTGAGATGGAATTGATGTGCAGGTTTAGTAATACACAGAAACGTTAATTCATGGTATGCGAGAGCTGTCACCTCAAACCACAGAAACGTCCATTCTCAAAAGTTACGAAAGTTAGGGAAATATACTGTTATGAACATTACCGTAAAGGCTCATGAGAGTAACTATCTGTTTTCTTTGAGTGCACTATAAGTAGAATCAAACTCATAACATAATCAAATACGATAATATGAAATGAATGAGTATTATTTGATACTGCAATTAGCACAGATACGGATGGCTTTGCCGGAAATGGACTACACATCGGATGTGGGGAATCGAACCCGTGCTTTTGGCGTCATGAGCGAACGTTGTAACCACTGGGCTACCTCGCGTCAAGTACTACAGTAAATATGTCCATCTACGCATGTGAGGTTTAGTTCAGTGAAAATAGCCATCCTGCCACATCCACTACCAAATACGGTATATGCTACCCACATTTACCGTATACTCTATCTAAAGTGCGCTGGGATCAATATCTTACCCAGTCTATTCTTCTCTATTTCTGCATGTGAAACTTGGTTTGATTAGTCGGGCGGTGGTGTCACGCCGATTCGCTTCGATTCCCCACATGGATACAGTGTGTGAAGCCCATTTCTGGTGTCCCCGCTGTGATATTGCTGGAATATTGCTAAAAGAGGCGTAAAACTAAACTCACTGACTTTGATCAGTCAGCAAGATGGGACACTTATTTGTATAAAAATGGTAACACTGGTATAGAGAATAGTATAATGGGATGGATCTCGGATGCGCCGTAGCGGATGATGTGATCAGGCTCACGATGTTGGTATCAGGTTTGTCTGGATTTAGTGTCATGATGTCACTTGTGGCCATGATATGGTTGTAATATGTCTCGGTATTACTGATAAGCGTTTAAGAAATATTAAACTAAATGGTGGGTGTATTGTTATTACCATCGCAGTTCAAATGAGACAAATCTATTTAATGATATAAAGGTATATAACCTCCACACGGAACAATCTTGAAAGAGTTATCTTGCACACGCACACAAGAAACAAACAAAACAAACAAAACGCACGCATGCACGCACGCACACACACTCTTGAAAGACACATTTGTAGCTGAATTCGTGTCAGCGCTTAACCGCTGTGTTACGTAATACGAGTCTGGAGGTTACACTGGAACATGGCCTGGAATCATTTAGAAGCCCATCACGTCTTCTCCTCCGTCGCTCTGTATTGAACACTGTGGACCTATTAGTGGTCCTGACTGACAATGAACTGAGGCAGTAAATTACATGTTTCCCCCGTAATGAACCGACGGCAACTATTGTAAGGCAGTGAAATCAATTTAGCAGAGAAATGGCATGAGGCGATTCAGCCAAGATGGCCTGGTCAATACAATAGGCTCTTTGGTGACCAACAAACCCCCTGGTCGTTGACTTCCTAAGAATGTCATCATCAAGAAAAACGTAGGCATAAAACCATTTCCGGCTTATTCTTTATAACGATATTCTGGGCAATCCGGATATCTAAGTACGAATTTCGGCAGAAAACGTGGGCGCCATTGGTTTTATTTGAAGTAGGTATTTGAACAAAGGTGAAACAAATTATATATACGTGTGCCCTCGACCTATACTAATACTTAATTATCTACGAGGAGATGAAAGTACTTATTCCAAAACCAAATCAGACCATTTCACCCTCATTTCACCCCCGCCTCCGGATATTTAGCACTAATTTGAAAATAAATTCAACGTAATTCACCCCATCAGAATCTCAAATTTCGTGAACGTCTTTCACGACTCGAGTCACTGTCGTCTTCCTTCTTCGGTAAGTGGGCGGTGGGGTAGCCTAGTGGTTAAAGCGTTGGCTCGTCACGCCGAAGACCCGGGTTCGAATCCCCACATGGGTACAATGTGTGAAGCCCATTTCTGGTGTCCCCCGCCGTGATGTTGCTGGAATATTGCTAAAAGCGGCGTTAAACCAAACTCAGTCAGTCAGTCTTTGGTAAGTTGGCTGAATAGTCTCCGCCAGACTACATGTGATCGGGTCGTCTGAGACCTGTCTGACTGTGTGAATCCTGTCACGATCGAGGTGTTAACCCATATAAATACACGTCAATATATAGGACGGGTTTGATTTACTAGCACTTTTGTTTCTCCTCACTCATACAGGAGAGTACGTTTTGGTAAAAAAGTCACTCCAACATGTCATAACAACCCAGATTCAAATAAAGATTTAGTAGTAAAAATGCCATGTCATCATATCCCAACTGCGTAGATCGATGCTCATGTTGTTGATCACTGGATTGTTTAGTCCAGACTCAATTATTTACAGACTGCCGCCATATAGCTGGAATATTGCTGACTGCAGCGTTAAACAAGAAACAAGAAGCAAAGTTAATGGAAGGTGATACTGGAAGTGATTGGGAAACTGTCATGTGTTGACACCGTGAGCTATAACAGTGACATATGGGTCATTCCTTGACTTCGGCTCTGGCGGTGAGCAGATCCGGCATATCCTCTCAGACGGAAAACCTGTTAATACAGCAAAAGTACGATATCAGTTCAGAGCAGCAAGAGTAATGGTCCACACCAGATCGATCATATCTACATTTCATGTGATCGTCACCGCCATATGCGTCGGAGACCGCCATTATACACATTAGATTTATTTCTTTTCTACACAAAAATTTTCTTCTTGTTTGTGAGTGTGAGCGATCGACCGTGCGCGCGTGCGTTCGTGCGTGTTTCTTTCTTTGGTTTATGGAGCAGCCAGCAATATTCCCGTTTTATGATGACGGCCAGTGCAAATGTCGTATCTGGACCAGACTATCCAATGATTGGTATTATGAGCAAAGATCTACACCTTCGGGATATAGATACACTGTCGGGGCAATCGGCGAAGTCGCTGACCCCTTGCTGTGTCCCTACATATGACCAGTATAAGTTGCTGGGGGTCTATCCTAACACGGAAGGGGTGGTGGCATGGCCTAGTGGTTAAGCGTTCGTTCACGCCGAAGGCCCGGGTTCGATTCCCCATACATGTGTATGTGAAGCCCATTTCTGGTGTCCCTGTCGTTATTTGGCTGGAATATTTCTAAAAGCGGCGTAAAACTAAACTCACTAACGCAGAACCGCACAAGGTGAAATATCTATGTTAGGATGCTCACCTATGATAGCAATGTGTGTATGTTACAGCAACCCTGATGTGATACAATGTGTGGATGTTATGATGCGATACAAAGCAACCCTGATGTGATGCAATGTGTGTATGTTACAGCAACCCTGATGTGATACAATGTGTGTATGTTACAGCAACCCTGATGTGATACAATGTGTGTATGTTACAGCAACCCTGATGTGATACAATGTGTGTATGTTACAGCAACCCTGATGTGATACAATGTGTGTATGTTACAGCAACCCTGATGTGATACAATGTGTGTATGTTACAGCAACCCTGATGTGATACAATGTGTGTATGTTACAGCAACCCTGATGTGATACAATGTGTGTATGTTACAGCAACCCTGATGTGATACAATGTGTGTATGTTACAGCAACCCTGATGTGATACAATGTATGTTACAGCAACCCTGATGTGATACAATGTGTGTATGTTACAGCAACCCCTGATGTGATACAATGTGTGTATGTTACAGCAACCCTGATGTGATACAATGTGTGTATGTTACAGCAACCCTGATGTGATACAATGTGTGTATGTTACAGCAACCCTGATGTGATACAATGTGCAAATGATACAATGTGTATGTTACAGCAACCCTGATGTGATACGCAGCAACCCTGATGTGATACAATGTGTGTATGTATTAATGTTGGAGCCCATGGATATAATTAGTCTGTCGTACAGACCCTGAAGTAAATATATCCAGGTAGAAAGCCCAGACGCAAGTAAATATAAAATGTGGCTAGAAAAGTCTAGTTTCCTCAGCTTCATTTCTGAAAATGAAGAACGTCTCAGGACTCCTTTCATTTTCATTATATTTTACATTTTTTTAGTAAAATATGTTCATTTCAGAGACTAGTTGTTAGTCTAAGGTATAATATGCAGTGTATATATTGCAGCTGCCCAGCTGAACGCCCGTTACCGACTACAGCCTGGTCAAGTGGGCAGTCTGTGCAGCGGCCTGACGCCGGGAGATTGTCGGAAGGACGTTCCATATGTCCTGGTAAGTGGTATGGAAATAAAATCTTCATTTAATGTAGTGAAATAAATCTGACATTTTATGCAGCTTTTACAGCATCGAGCATTGCCATTGAGGGATGTTTCACCCTGCAGCGATATCTTCTTTTGATCACTTTTGATATCCAGCCAAAGCTATTCACGAGAGTCTTGCAATGTCTGTAAGGCTTCCATAACTGTGAATGTAAAGGTGAATGCTGTTGAATCCCCGAGTCAGCAATATTACATTACATTACATTTACATTTACATTGATATACATTTATATAGCCCTAATATCCAGTCTTGTGAAGACTGCTCAAGAGCGCTGCTGAACTCCGTATGCAATGCTGAACAAATGAGTATTTAATCTGGATTTGAAAGTACTGAATGTCTGTACTGATCGAAGAGAGAGGGGTAATTTGTTCCACAAAGCTGGGCCGACAACCTGAAAAGACCTTTCACCAAATGTCTTGGTCCGGCTGACTACAGTCTGGCACATGTGTTGTTGTGATGACCTCAGATGGCGTGTTGGTTGATTATGATTATGGTGTACAAATATTCGAGCCATGCAATGTCTGTGTACTTATTCCAAAACCAAATCAGACCATTTCACCCTCATTTCACCCCCGCCTCCGGATATTTAGCACTAATTTGAAAATAAATTCAACGTAATTCACCCCATCAGAATCTCAAATTTCGTGAACGTCTTTCACGACTCGAGTCACTGTCGTCTTCCTTCTTCGGTAAGTGGGCGGTGGGGTAGCCTAGTGGTTAAAGCGTTGGCTCGTCACGCCGAAGACCCGGGTTCGAATCCCCACATGGGTACAATGTGTGAAGCCCATTTCTGGTGTCCCCCGCCGTGATGTTGCTGGAATATTGCTAAAAGCGGCGTTAAACCAAACTCAGTCAGTCAGTCTTTGGTAAGTTGGCTGAATAGTCTCCGCCAGACTACATGTGATCGGGTCGTCTGAGACCTGTCTGACTGTGTGAATCCTGTCACGATCAAGGTGTTAACCGATATAAATACACGTCAATATATAGGACGGGTTTGATTTACTAGCACTTTTGTTTCTCCTCACTCATACAGGAGAGTACGTTTTGGTAAAAAAGTCACTCCAACATGTCATAACAAACCGGATTCAAATAAAGATTTAGTAGTAAAAATGCCATGTCATCATATCCCAACTGCGTAGATCGATGCTCATGTTGTTGATCACTGGATTGTTTAGTCCAGACTCAATTATTTACATACTGCCGCCATATAGCTGGAATATTGCTGACTGCGGCGTTAAACAAGAAACAAGAAGCAAAGTTAATGGAAGGTGATACTGGAAGTGATTGGGAAACTGTCATGTGTTGACACCGTGAGCTATAACAGTGACATATGGGTCATTCCTTGACTTCGGCTCTGGCGGTGAGCAGATCCGGCATATCCTCTCAGACGGAAAACCTGTTAATACAGCAAGAGTACGATATCAGTTCAGAGCAGCAAAAGTAATGGTCCACACCAGATCGATCATATCTACATTTCATGTGATCGTCACCGCCATATGCGTCGGAGACCGACATTATACACATTAGATTTATTTCTTTTCTACACAAAAATTTTCTTCTTGTTTGTGAGTGTGAGCGAACGACCTTGCGTGCGTGCTTGCGTGCGTGCGTCTTTCTTTGGTTTATGGAGCAGTCAGCAATATTCCAGCGTTATGATGACGACCTGTACAAAAGTCGCATCTGGACCAGACCATCCAATGACTGGAATTTTGAGCAACGATCTACACCTTCGGGATACACTGTCGGGACAATCGGTGAAGTCACTGACCCCTTGCTGTGTCCCTACATATGACCAGTATAAGTTGCTGGGGGTCTATCCTAGCACGGAAGGGGCGGTGGCATGGTCTACGTGGTTAAGCGTTCGTTCACGCCGAAGACCCGGGTTCGATTCCCCATACATGTGTATGTGAAGCCCATTTCTGGTGTTCCTGTCGTTATTTGGCTGGAATATTTCTAAAAGCGGCGTAAAACTAAACTCACTAACGCAGAACCGCACAAGGTGAAATATCTATGTTAGGATGCTCACCTATGATACAATGTGTGTATGTTACAGCAACCCTGATGTGATACAATGTGTGTATGTTACAGCAACCCTGATGTGATACAATGTGTGTATGTTACAGCAACCCTGATGTGATACAATGTGTGTATGTTACAGCAACCCTGATGTGATACAATGTGTGTATGTTACAGCAACCCTGATGTGATACAATGTGTGTATGTTACAGCAACCCTGATGTGATACAATGTGTGTATGTTACAGCAACCCTGATGTGATGCAATGTGAATGTTGTAGACGCCGGACAGTCATACACTGTATTAATGTTGGAGCCCAGGTATAATTAGTCTGTCGTACAGACCCTGAAGTAAATATATCCAAGAAAGCCCACGCAAGTCTAGAAAATGTGGCAAGTCTAGTTTCCTCAGCTTCATTTCTGAAAATGAAGAACGTCTCAGGACTTCTTTTCATTATATTTTACATTTTTTTAGTAAAATATGTTCATTTCAGAGAATAGTTGTTAGTCTAAGGTATAATATGCAGTGTATATATTGCAGCTGCCCAGCTGAACGCCCGTTACCGACTACAGCCTGGTCAAGTGGGCAGTCTGTGCAGCGGCCTGACGCCGGGAGATTGTCGGAAGGACGTTCCATATGTCCTGGTAAGTGGTATGGAAATAAAATCTTCTTTTCATGTAGTGAAATAAATCTGACATTTTATGCAGCTTTTACAGCATCAAGCATAGCCATTGAGGGATGTTTCACCCTGCAGCGATATCTTCTTTTGATCACTTTTGATATCCAGCCAAAGCTATTCACGAAAGTCTTGCAATGTATGTAAGGCTTCCATAACTGTGAATGTAAAGGTGAATGCTGTTGAATCCCCGAGTCAGCAATATTACATTACATTACATTTACATTGATATACATTTATATAGCCCTAATATCCAGTCTTGTGAAGACTGCTCAAGAGCGCTGCTGAACTCCGTATGCAATGCTGAACAAATGAGTATTTAATCTGGATTTGAAAGTACTGAATGTCTGTACTGATCGAAGAGAGAGGGGTAATTTGTTCCACAAAGCTGGGCCGACAACCTGAAAAGACCTTTCACCAAATGTCTTGGTCCGGCTGACTACAGTCTGGCACATGTGTTGTTGTGATGACCTCAGATGGCGTGTTGGTTGATTATGATTATGGTGTACAAATATTCGAGCCATGCAATGTCTGTAAGGCTTCCGTAACTGTGAATGTAAATGTGAATACTGCTGAATCCGCAATACCATTTTAATCCAGTGTGGTTATGTCGAAATGCCCACCGGAAGACATGCATGGGATACTGGGAACATATTCTTCCTGGGATTTCTTTGGGGAGACAACTGTAGGGTTCTGGACAGGGAACGGGTAATCCAGCGTTTTAAAAGCATATGACGTTCTTACACTTACAATGTCTATATTCCAGACCCGCAGTGTTGTGGAGTGTGCTATCCGCTGCACCAAACACCCTGGCTGTAAGTCTTTCAGCTTCCAGATCCGCCCAAACAGCGCCCGACACACCCATCGCTGTGAGATGGCCCCCGACAAGGTGCATACCATCCAGGTCGCTGCCAAAAATGGCTCAGGTTATGAATATTACAAAAATGTATCCTGAAACTTGTACCAATAAAATATCATGGCCGAGTTGTTTTCTTTTCCCAGCTGCTGCTATTTTAAATAATTGTCGTGAGGGGATTAAACGGGGCTTCGACCAGTATTTCACTATACATATTATCTGACTAGTATATATAGGAGGGAAATAGGGTCATGCTATTGGACTGACAGTTTCAGTGAGTATGAGGAGGAAAATGGCAGATGTTATTCGTGCGTGGGGTGGATACACCAGGTACTGATTTGGTCGCCAGTGGTGGTACATACAATTAAAAAAAGGTGAGGTGGGGTAACCTCGTTGTTAAATCGTTCGCTCGCCACGCCGAAGACCCGGGTTCGAATTCCCACGTTGGTACTATATGTGAAGCCCATTTCTGATGTCCCCCGCCCTGATATTGCTAAAAGCGGCGTAAAACGCCACTCACTCACTCACAACACCCACTAAGTGACAATCAGATTGATGGCATAGTCATGATGACCATACTTTCAGGCATCATATACAAAGTGGGTGGTGATTATTGCTCATGTATGTGTATATATTTCTTTGGAACATTTTTTTATGCAAATTTTTTTATACAAAGGACATTTCAAGACAACACAGAACCCACCTCCCACACTGCTGGAATATTGCTAAAACGGCGTAAACGTACACTCACTCTCACTGTTAATAGTTTTGCGAAACATTTATGTTGTGGAAATATATTAAAAAGATACCGTTCAGGTTCGAGTTGTTTTATAATACACTAAGGTTTTCTACCATGACTTCAGTAAATACTGGATTGTGATTGGTTAATTTAAGTCATTCAGAGGTATATAATCACGTTATATGCCTCTGATTTTACGACACATTAAAAAAATTGAGATCTTTTTTATTTGCGCGAGGTTTTAAATAAAAACTTTAGACCTATTATAATTTCGTTATATGAGTCTGATTTTCCAACACAATATGTTTATCTCCTAAATGTGTCTAAGGCTGTGATTTGGAACATCTCTGCTGACACAAAATGTGTCGGTCACGCGCACTGTGTCCTATAGGTCAATACTAATCCTGGACTCATTAATTAGAAACTAGGCTGTAAGAAATGTACTTGCTGGACAGGCTAGCACGTGTCTGGATGGGTCCTGACGAACGCCAGTGCAAGGTAGTATTGCAGATTTTGGGATGGATCTGTAATGATACAGGGCAGCATCACTAAAAGTGTTAAAGAAAACACACTGTATATTGTCTATGGATAGTTCACCGAAAAATAAAAGTACTACCCAGACACCAACAGTCGCACACCTTGCTGTTCCTAAAGTACTGTCGGAAATAGAAAAAACTGTTTTTAGGCTGTTACTCTGTATCCCTAAAATTTACACAACTGCAAATAGCATATGTCGAAATAACCCACTTCGGCCTAACTTGGCATTCAGTGGGATGCGTAATAGGATATCCAGAAAAGCATGTTTACTCGTAAAAATCGTAAAATCATACCCGTAGCTGCTGAAAACAATAGATCAGACTATAGATGGCAATTAGGTCGCTCAGCCAGGTATGACGACGGACCGTCGACTCACCTGGCATGAAATGCATGTGCTGCCTACAGGCACAAGGGGTCATCTCAAAGATAGTTTGTGCTTTTTCATGTGTGTTGACTATGCCTCATCTATTGATTAACATCTTATGTGTCTTTCTTTCATAAAGTTTATGTTGAGATATGTAAAAGAGTTTGATACCTGATAACCATAGAAACGCATCGTATTAAATGTCTCAAAATATATAGGTGGCATGACCACCCGATCGCGAAGATCGACAGGACTGGATATTATTTGTAAATTGTTATGACATGCCGTGTACTTCCCCATATAATTGCCCTAAAGGATGATCTTATCTTAGCTGATATCTCTATCCCCCAGCCCGACCCCAACGATCGTCTGCGACACCCGTCCAGGTTTTGCTTTTGAGACGAACCCTCCTATCTGTTTCTTTTTATAGTGACAGTGAGACTCCATGGTAGCTACATAGTTTCAGCATGAAAGTTATTATTTTTTACGCCAGCTATCGTTTATAATGAAGCTACGTCTAATTTCAAATTGGGCATTTAAAAACTGTCCTTTGTGATACAATATCGTCGCACACTAATTTGCATAAAGCCATGGTCTGTTCCAAATAAATCGTTTTGGACTTTGCATTGCTCATTTCTGCACTAATCTCTCCTCAGTAAAGTCCTTTTTCTACGTTTCCTATGTCCCTATCACTGAGACTGTAGTTAGGCCGAACTTAGTTTAACAGATATTTCACACTTGCACATATCAACTACATAAATTGTAGAGATAAATGAGAAAATACAGTTTTTTCTATTTCCGACAGTACTTTAGTTTGGTATCAGTCACTGGATCATCACTCCGATTATTTTAATACTGCCCGCAGCACGAAAATGGCGTGTGCAGCCTTAAAAGATATCCAACCAATCAATCGTTGTCACTTGTTTTCATTCACCCTGACAATACATCTCCCAAGATGTTATCATGTTACACCAAGTCTATTCTTCTTATCCATTCATTACCATGATATTTGTTGCAGGAGAGAACACATAGTAGTATCGTTGGTTGGCCGCACTAGCAATATTCCAGCTATATGGCGGCGGTCTGTTAATTAGTCGAGTCCGTACCAGACAATCCAGTGATCGATCATCGATCTACGCAATTGGGATACGATGACATGTGTCCTCGTAGTCGCCTCTTAGGACAAACATGGGTTACTGAAGATCGATTCTAACCTGGATCTTCAGAGGTCCATAGTAGGGAGACCATCAGGGGTTTAAAGTCTTTGGACGAACTGTATCATTCTCGTGAAATATCCTTCTAAAGAAGAAAATCTTTGACAAAATGGTACGATGTTAAATCAAATTATTCTCACATACTGCTTTCTCACCAACCCTCCTGCACAGGACGGTCATACCAACACATGCAACATCAGGAACAGGTGAGGTGAGGTGAAATTGGGTTTATCGTCGTGCTTGAGAATATTTCGCTCATATGACGACATGCATGGGTGTGTATGTGTATGTGCGGCTGCGGCTGCTTGTACTAGCCCAGACTGAAGCTGGTTTTATAGTGCTAGCCCACTGAGATACCACGCCGCAGTGAAGCATGAATACCCCACTCAGACACATTATACTGACTCCGAGCCGCAGTCCTTTGTTGTACCCATTTGCCGAGCGCTAGGCCAGGCAGGGACCAACAACATCTTTTGGTATGACGCGGTCGGGGATCGAACCCGCGACCTTCCGCTCTCCGGGCGGACGCTCTAACCACTACACCACGAAGGCGGTTACATCAGGAACAGAATTCTGTAAGCAGGTTTTACACACCATTGCCAGTAAGGTTAAACTCCAAAGCCTCTATGGTGTAATGGCATGTCCATTAATACATGACAAGGCAACATACTAATTTATTAAATTTATTCCATAATTATACTCATATTTGTACATTGATCATATATAAAACATGTACCTACGAAAACAATGATACAAGGTATGTTTTCAAAGTAAGAGAATATAATTTTCTTTTCAAAGCATTAACTATTTAAATACAAATATGCAAGAATGACAAGCTTCCACAAAAGCCAATATGAACCTAGAGGTCTACAAATGTCACCTGACTCTATCCATTTAATGGCATCGCAAGATAAATATCCTTCTCCTTAACACAATGTCTAAACCAATAACACACATTCTTTTTCAGAAGAGGTTTTCCTTGGGGTACATATATGCATATTCTGCTGCTCAAAATGTCCTGTCACAGTTAAAACGTTTTAATAAAAAAAGTGCACAAATCAAATCATTTATTCTTTTGTTATACACTCACTGATCATATCGTGGACTGGTGTGCACACAGAGAATAACTTCCAGCTGATTGCAAAAGCAATGCCAAGGATGAAAAACAGAACTCATTCGTCCTCTAAAGGCACCATTTGACACTGCTGTGACACATCTCGAGTAGAGACAATTTTCCAGTCCGATGACAAATCAGCAACAGGCATTTTGGGCAAATTCTCACTACCACTGCTGGGCACAATGCATTTTGACAAAATAAATCCACTTTTATACTCAGTAGCGTAGTAGTGGCTCCAAACATATTGATAGATGCCCAAGTGCACCTGTTCCAATATTACCACAACTAAAAGAAGACAACTTATATGATGAGAAGAAGTGGCCTCTATATGCTGATGACCCTGATGTCAAAAGAATCTAACTTTGGATGCCTACCTTTTTGTACAAGGTTTTGTTTATTGGTTGTTGGTTATTTTTCACAATTGTTAGCACGATGTTCTTTTTTCATGCCAAGAGCAAAAGTTGCACGCTTCATGTAATCCCGACACCTTATAAATCGGTTTGCCACGCTTTGTTTCTTTTGAAAAAATATTAAACACATTGCTAATTAAACGCTTAGCATCATCTGAATAAGCTTTCATGATGACAGCTAGAAGTAGTCAATGTGAATGATCCAAACGGTCTATCACTGTGCAGTGCACAGGTAACTATCATGAACTGCACGTGCATTTACCTTTATGACCCAACACTACCGCTGTTACAGGTCCTTGGCTCCCTCCCTCTGCAAGCCTTCTGCGTTCTGCTGTTTATTTTGTTGACAGTTACATAGACAGATTCTTTAATACAAATGCATAAAATCGGTGATTTACAATGTGATTAGGTTGTTGACAAAACATCCACTTGCACAGTTTGAGATCGATTGGGTCACTGGATGAAGAGATATTAGCAAAAAAACGGGTCCACATGCATTTCATGCCAAACTATAAGTAGCCTCAAAGATGTCCTGACAACAGCCAAATAATGATAAACATGGTTAGAAGGAATTGAAATTTTCAAAGGCCTGTATTTAGATGGTGTGACTTTCACATAAGTACATGTATATTTGTTTTTGTATTATTAAGATATTGTAGCTAATGGTCCCAACAATACACCCAAGGGAAGGAAACAAGTGAGATCAACTGGAGGAAGAGAGAAAATTGGTAAGCATATTAAGTATCA